CTTCTGTGTTGAGAGAATCTAGGGTAACACTGATACAATCAATACCGTTACCTGAGTGTGAGTACACAGCATCTAATCTGCCACACCACCGCCGGTTTTCGTACCGCATGAGACCTTCTCCTGTCGGTACAGGTTAACTGCATCAATGGACACCAGCGTGTCAGCAACACACAAAATTCTTGTATGCAAATCAGACATGTATGCACATGAATTCGGGACCAGAGAACAAGTAATANCGAGAGTTTCACAAACTAGGAACTTTTGTTCGTACACCGAAGTGATGGGACGGACATCTTCAGTGGAACGATGCACGTAGGAGCAACTTATCACCCGGCCCGGTTGAGCTTTTTGTGTGAAATCCGAGAGAACCAAGCGTAGTTGAATTGAATCGTGGGGTAGGTAAATCCGCTAGAGTGCTTAAGTAGACGTAATTCCGATCTGGATGAAATATGGACGAACGAAGGCCATGGTAATGACAAAAATCCTTTTATTTCAAGCAGGTGTGACAACACAAGATGGTAGTACAGCCAATCAAAGAGGGCGCGCATAATTTTGACATGAAATGTTAAAGAGAAAGATTGACTTCAGCTGTTGAGCCTTTGATGATGATGATGATGATGGCTTTATCAGACAGACGGATAAGTCATGCAGGAGAATTTTGAGAAACTTTTTTCTCCTTGATATATCGGGGATGTTTCATGCCCAGCTGCCCAGGGTGAAAATACCCTGATCGTTGATTGCCCTCTCGTTGGACATAATGAATTCCTATAAGATTTGAGAGTAGGTATGAGCAACGCTTTGTGGTTTTGGGCAGTCACGGTCGTTCTATTTAATTGCCAGATACTTCAGGTATTTCTTTTCATCACTGATTCATTATCCAGGATTAAATTGACTTCGCTAAATCGGATTCCACTCCTGAAGGCTAGCCAACCATTGTGGATTGAACCCGAACATAAGCTTACCGATTTTCATGATCATACATCTGGTCATTTGTCCGGAATGTCAAAGCCGGGTGGTGGCAGAAGGAGAGAGAGGAGGGGCCGCGCCGAAAGTATTTGTTGCACAATGTTTAGACTAGGCGCACATTGGGGTCGCTTGGATTTGGGTTGCCGTAATTTGTTGTCACGTCTCACTATTTTCGTTTGAATTCTGCGGGCTATTCACATTAGTTATCCAGGTGTTTCGTGAGTTCCTTGAACAAATACTGCATGCCCGAGCTCGCGATAACTCTTTGTAGGATGTAGGGCTGTGTGCGTGTGTGTGCTCCCGTAATTGTTCAGTGCGACGATAGACTACGGGCAAGGTTTTGAGCTTCCAAAATCCTAGGGTGGGTTTGATATAACCCTTGACAGTATGGCAGGAATTCCTCAGTGTTTGCCCTCTGGATTGCCTGTTCAAACCCACCACAGTTCAGTACCACGCCCAATCTAGTGTTTATCTCTTCAAGTCCTGGGCTACTTGGGTTTCCGGTTTCCATGAGTAAACAAGATCTCTGAGTCTCCCTCTGCTGTTCAAGGGGTGCGCAACAAAATATTAAAAAATTCCCAATGTCCAAAATATTACGTGCCTGAGTATTTCATCTGTGCACTACGACCAATAACGCAATATTATTATGAAACTGCTGTTTGTTTTGTCATCCCTCACAGGTTCCAGTTTCACGGGTATTTTTCATCCTCGATATCAGTATTCAACAGGTCAACCGACCAATGTAGCTACCAGCACAGGTACTGCAACTGCGTCCGCCTATATTGCTGGGACACTGAAATCAAATGCGGTCGCGTCTACCCCACCATCCACCTGCTCTCAGCCTCGAACCACCGTGTTTGCACGACCTGTCGCTGGGACCAGTTCGGACGCCTGCCTCCAATCTGCTGTACCCACTGGTCTGCCTACCCTCAATGCTACAACGGAAACTGGGCTGAGTGTCATTCGACGTTCCTCAATGGTTTCACATCCTTTGCTCAAATCCTCCTCACGTTTGCTCGCCAACGGGCCTTGTCTCGAACCTGAGCTGAACCCATACCATCCAAATTCAATGATTGATCAAAATTCTGGTTCGGTATCCACATCCGACGCGATCGATCTGGAAAGTTGTATTCAAGCCTCAAGTTTAGTTCACGGGCCATCGGGATCAGTATATGGCTCATCGTCAGGACGTATTGGAGCTGATACAAATGGTGGATCTGCAGGTGGTTCCTTATCGTATTCCGCCAACCAAGCACAGCGCGCCCCCCTGTTGACTGCAGCCGCAACCTCGCTGGTTCCCACCGAGACCACAAATTCACTACTGTGTCGGAACCGGTTTTTTGTCATTCGTCCAGGTGCTGTGCGTCAAGGTTCCACGGGCTTAGTTGTTCGAGCTCGACGTCCGGATGGTGGGGCCGCGATGTATAGCTCAATGGAGGACAATTCTTCGCCAATGCACTCAACCCCGCAGTCCCAGCTCCATCAACAATCACAACCTCAGCCACCCTCCGAGTCTTCTTGAATCAGTTGATCCGTACAGAACGTCTAAGACTCAGTTATCTAATGTCCATCTGCGTATGCCATAAATCCGCTCCCCCAAATGGACAGTTATTTTTCTACCTCAGTTATCCAGCGCATTTGGTGCGGTCAGTTGCGTCTTCCATACCATGTGTCAGCTAGTATATCGCTACAGTTCCTCTCTTTTCCTTCCCTCCCCCCAGGAAACTCATGGTTTCCGATTATTTCTTCCATGCTCACGTTCGCAGTCCGTGCTACCTCTTTTACTCATGGGTTTTTTCTGCACTCAGTCTCGGGTTCGGTCCACATTGGTGTTTTCCAAACCAATCTCAGTTCATTCTATTTGTGCCTAACGCGCTTCGGACATACCTGCTGTTTTTCTGGGACTGAGCACCCTGCAATACCGTTAGTTGTAGCTTGTCAAAAGCTCCCAGTCGGTCAAACAATGAAACAAGTACAACTGCTCATCTGTTATCATCACTATCTTTTATCTTGCGCCGGCTTCTGCGTTCGTGAGCCTCTGTTCCAGCATGGGCTAATGCATTCGCCCCCTTCTCCTATTTTCCCCTATACAGGCCGCAGATCTTTCCATTGCAGATTGGTCTCCTCTTTGCCTCTACCCAGTCCTCTTAGTCCATCTCCCCTTCACTCTCTTCGTCCGTTTACTATCCTCGATACATGCAAAATGAAGTACTCTACACACCACTCTCCCCCGGACTCTGTTTTGCTCAGCGCTATCATTGCAGTCGCTGTTGTGTCCGCGTTATCGACGTTCTTCGTTCGTGCTCGCTTTTTTCACGACCGATTCGATTGTGCAAATTGATCAAATTGAATGACTTTGTACACACTCACACATCATAGGTTCATGCAACAACATACAACATACCCGCGACCGAACAAAAGTTCACGTTAATTTCAACACCCCGCACGGAATGTGCTGTGGCTCACCTATAATGACATGCATGTATCCTCGATGATCAGGTCATCTCCTCCTTCCCCGTCTCTTTGTTCTATCACCCTACACCTTTCCCTGTGTGTCCCGTGCTCATCCCCGCTACTGTGTTTGACTGGAACCGAATAAAACTACTTCACATGTGTACTATCTCTGAATGTCTGTCCTTTTGTCACTCCAAGTGACGGGTGTTTGTTTGTGCGTCTCCTCCACTCCCGGCTCCGCACCACTTCTTTCACCCTACTTACTGACCATTCTGTCAAAATCCACCCCCTGCCTCCTCATTTTTCTGCACCCATGTGAACGTGTTATAGACTGAGTAGTAGTCCGATCTGATTACTTTTACTTGTCCTGTGATTGCGCTCTGGCTTGCACTGCTGTTCGATTTCCTATTGCGCGGGGGGGGGGTGCAGGGGTTCTGGGTCCTAATGGGGCATGTGAACACNTTGCCTTCCGGGTTCAGTAATTATATACCGCTCTGGATTTTGTCTCCAGGTTATCAACGAAGCTAAATCGTTCCAAAATTGGATAAATTACTCAGCTAGTCACCAACTCTGTCCTTGACTTATTTCTTCCAGGTGCGATAGTCTTAATGTGCAATCAGTCACACGGTTACAACATCCTTTGCGAACCTGCCGGAGGGAAGTAGAAGCTTCAACTCCGTCGTACGCGCGCGCGCAACTATCCGTAATGCTGCTACTACTACTCTGCTCCTGTCACGATTTAGAGTAATAATTTCTGTGCGGAAGCCTTCCACTACTATACCTCTTTTTCAAGTTGAGATGCCCGAATGTCCACATTATGTTGTACCGATTGTGGTGCTCTTGTTCTCACGTCCAGTCCATCCATGCGGCAAAAGCACGCCAGCTGTACAGTCGAAGTTCACTGGGTCTGCGAAAAACTCGCGGTCTAGACAAGCCATGGTTTCTCGCTCGGGGTTAGCTGGGCAAGCACCAGGTCCCTTGTTGCGGCTGAACTACCCTACCGATTGGTAAATGAGCGCGATCGGTCGTGTGATTTTCGGGCCGACTTAGGTGGCGGATAAGCACCGAATTCGACGCTGCTTAGGTGTTGGTAAAGACTCACCACGGGAGAATCAGTTGTGGACCAATGCACCATGTGCGAAATTCGGAATGGAAAGAGTTCAAGCGATGATGACACTGGGTCAGCGTTTGATTTGTCTAAGATACACACACTATTTTTCTGAGCGGTTTCGGTAAACGAAAGAGGTTCAATCGCTGTCCACCTTAAATTTTACCACTAACCTTGTGAGTTTGGCAGCAATCAGTAAAGTTCACCTCTTTGTATTTTGCTGTACGATGATGGTGATGATTAAGAATTTCTAGAATTGTGACCCAACCGTGAGATTGAACTCACGACTGAGCATCGGCAGGATACGAACCCTCCGTTTCATCTGTGTTGGGCCGTCTAGTGCTGGTTTTGCATTTTCACTCAGTTGTTTGAAGAGAGTCTGTGATAAGAGCCCGTTTTCCGCGGCAAACGTTAAAAATTTGAATGTGATAAGAGGCACTACAAGATAGGAAAAATGAGAACCTTTCCGATTAGAAACTCCACTATTCATGAAAATCGGAGTGAGGTTATGCGTAATTAACTTCGCTCAGAAGTATTTTCGCTGAATTACCAGCTATCTATCAAATATAAAAATATTTCACATTGAATCTGTCGATGCTCTGAAATCCGATCGAGACTACATCGTCTATTTCTTCACCTTACATCAGTCCTGAACTTTTCTCCCCGTCAACCGTCATTTTTATTTTTACCCATCGAAAAACCGCTTTCAATTAACCAACTTTGACTGTACATTAATTAATCTGCTTCAACGCATTGGGTTGTTTCATGCCAACTCGTGACACGAGTCGACCAGACAGCAAATTCACAAGCAGTTAAGCAGAACGGGGCTTCGCTTCATTGATAGTACTGGTCTCAATCCGGTAGCTCCAAACCGATCACCCCCGCCCCGCCCCTTCCTGCGTTAAATTACCGCTTATTCGCGTAGCCATATTGTATCATGCTTCGCACAAGTCTAAGTCCAGACTTTATGCCAACCAACCAAATCACAGTTCAGTGGTCTATATAAAAATGAAAGAAAAGTTCCATGATTTGTTTTCGAGCACGATACTGCCTCGTGGCCCAGATCAGAGCGGAAGGATTTCCTTGGGGAATTCAAAACCAGAGCATTTGGCTAACAAAACCAGACCCGCAAGGTAGCGGGGCGATATGGCATAACCATAATCCATTGGGAGTCCGTATGTCCATGTCGTGGGATCATACGTCCTTCGGACGGGGTCAAAGTTCAAGGTGCTCAACACACTTCGGTGCCCACTACCGAAAAGGTGTGAGTGAGTGTGCTCTGTACAGCTTTTCTTGTTGGATTTGTAATCAGGGTTTTTAGCTAACTCCCTTAGGTGAACTGCCAATGTTTCACCGATCGGGATGTGTGATGGCTTTTCGTCTTCTCTTTTTGGTGGGGAAATAACCGCCAGCAAGAGAAAGCAGTAAACAGGGCTTCCTCAGCAGAGGTTATTTCAGCCGATTGTCGTATAGGGAGGGACATTTCGCGAGGTGGAAGGAAGGAATGACGAGACACCACCGAAAAAATACTGGGGAATTTGAGTAGGTAATGTTGTTTCAGAGAATTTCACAGCCGCACCGCACCCCTCGTAGAATTATTGTGATAGCTGTTATTAATTGGAATTCCTTTGATCTTGGTATCTTTGGTATCTTTCCACTTCAGATTTGTGGATCAATTGCTTTGAAAGTTGGTTTTGTTCTGACATCACCACGATAGTGCTAATAATCTTTCTATTTTTCCGGTATTTCATTTTCCCAAATGAAGGACTGCACAGGTTAGGTGAACGAGGAATCTTGAAAGCTTCACTCGGTTAGCGTAAATCATACTAATACTGGCAGTGTTGTAGCTTGGTACATCAAAATATTCTCCACCCTGCCTGGAGATTGCGTTTCGTTTGAACAGCCAATTGAATTGATACCGGAATCGTTGAGTTCACTAGTCCAGATGGAGATAAAAGTGAGAGATGGATGGGTAGTTGGAGGCAGAACATGCAAGCAAAAGAAATGCCAACCTAGTTGGATGTACATTACTTGAGTGAGCTCAGTCCGTGCATGGATTGTGTGTGTATATGTGTTATCCGATTGTCTGTCATACCTGGGAAAACAAACGTCGACACCTTGTGCACCTCAGGGGCAGTACGAAGTTGTCCAAATACGTTTGGTACGATCCTACACGCCAGTAACTTTGAGGCAGATCCAGAAACTGAAGAAATTGAACGATCCTATAGCCCGTACATACAATTTGACTGTTTTCTAATCCTGTCAAGATACTTTTTCGGGATGACATGTTTTCGATGATTCCGTTTTTCAGTTCCTACACGTTCATGTGGATCTCATTCGGAAGAAGAATATCCGGTTTTGGAGAAAGTTGTATACGTCACTGTTCGTTTGTTTGAAAACGTATGCTTTGAGTCAGGCACTGCTGTTCGAATGTGTTCCCAGGGGACAATAACTGCAACCAGAGTCCCGCGCGATCTGATTTCCGCCAGGGGAGTTAGTGTGTGTCCGGACTTCCGTTGTACACTCGCAAATTACGCTTGAACGGAGAAGTCAACTTTGGAGACAACAACGACTAGCACTTACACGTAAAACACTTTTCTGTTTGTCATATCAGTTCGTCCGAATTTCCGGAACTGTACGGACGATAGGTTTTTTTGACAGTTTCACCAAGTGTCCATCGAGTAGTTGATTTCCGATGCATCCCTAGATGGTTCTATTCTAGCGAACGTAAACGTGCCAGCTGGTACATCTCCACGCAGGCTGACAATCGAAGCTCAGATGTAGAAGATTAGTAAAGTATGTAGCACTTGGAACGCCCTTCAAACGGAGACTGGATGAAACCTCGACTCACCTCATATTCCTACACAACCAAAAACGCAAATTGTTTATGTCCTACTCACAATACTGTGACACTGCTCATCTATTTGGCCGATAAACGATTCAATTATGGGAACTGGAGA